TGCTACAGCAGGTGGGCGATACCGGCCAGGGGTCAGCCGGTAGCATCAGGACCGAGCTTCTTCGATGGGCCAGTCACTGTGCCTCCCCTCCGGTCCCCTCCCCCTATGAACATCAGCAGTCTCTGCTCAATGCCACTCGGGGGGACCAACGGCATATCTCTAGGTGGCGGGCGCCAAGCTAGCCCAGGAAGGTACATGAGGCCAATGGGGATTGAACCCAAGACCTCCTGAATGCCACTTGCGTGCCTTACCAACTGAGATAGGCCGCTGGATTGGATTCTGGAATCTGTGAACAACACAAGGTTTCTTTGCCTTTTTTCCTTTTTGTATGTGCAGCTACTGACCAAAAAGGCCACGGGGCTGATATGCCCAAACTGGGGTGCGCTCACACAACACTTCGGAGAATGCATCCAACTGCATTCACGTCTCCAGCTTTGTTGCTTGTTTTTTTTTTTTTTTTTTTCTGCTGGTACCCCCAGCCTCGGCCCACCCTGCTACTGGTACTGCCAGGCTCGGGAAGCTGGGCATACCGGTCACCGGAGGGCCGGACTGCATAGCTGCGCGAGACACCGGTGGTTTAAAGTCTTCAGATCGCGCGAAAATCCGGACCGTCGGGCCGGTAGGACCGCGGGTGGCCCGGATCGGCCAATTCTCATGTTAGCCATTTCTACAAGTGCAGGGACATTTCAGGCCCAACCGACACCAGCGTTTTATGGGAAATTTAATCGTGGTCAGAGGGGCGTGGCAGGGTAAATCGGCCATGGGAGGCGCACGACGCAACATAATGGAAATCACAGGGCGGGCAGACAAATTTCCCCTAAATTAAAAAAAAAACTAATTTCAACCAAGAAAAAAAGTCACAGCTGCAAATCGCCCCATTTTCCATTTTTGTCATTCAGCCTCTCCTCTCTCTCTTTCTTTGGTAGCCCCGTGGTCAGAGGTGCGCGACAGGGTAAATCGGCCATGGGACAGGCGCTATGCAAAATAATGGAAATTACAGGGGGTTCAGACAAATTTTCCCTAAATAAATTTAAAAAAACTAATTTCAACCAAGAAAAAAAGTCAGCTGCAAATCGACCCATTTTCCATTTTTGTCATTCAGCCTCTGTCTCACGCTTTCTCTTTCTTTGGTAGCCCCCGCCCCCCCTCCTCTCTCTCTCTCTCTCTCTCTCTCTCTCTCTCTCTCTCTCTCTCTCTCTCTCTCTCTCTCTCTCTCGTGCACGCATGCTTAGCCCCATTGGTTTGCCTCATTGGGCCAGGTTCACAATTCGCAACCCTAGGGCTGTGGTATGTGGGTTGGGGGCGGCGGTTGGGAAGGTGCTTTGGAGGGGAGGAGGGGGGGGTTAGGGGGCTTTGTGGGGGGTATAGAGGGGTGTTTTTTTTGTGTGTGACATTGCCGAACACGCCGCGCCCCACAGTAGCCCTCGACATGCGCACGCTGATGGCGCGCACGAGTTCAGTTACTTCTCGCCACATGGCCCGTAAACGGATTGAACGGAATTGAACGGAGTCCCTGGGGAATTGAACGAACCCGTTTGAATGCGAACGGGCGCTCAATCTGTTAAAACTGTTACACAGGCCCCACCCCCACCCCCACCCTCTCCTGAACTAGGAGGAATCTTGCACAGTGCTCACCAGCAGAAGCTCACTAACAAAAACATAATGCACAGCAGAAAGACAAGGAAGAGGAACGAAAAAATGGAATGGCACACCATTGGCCAAAACAACTTACAGCAGAGATGGCAAATCACCATTTACATGCCAACAGGAATACGCATTCCAGCTTTGGTTAATAAACTTTCAAGCAAAAAACGTGATTCAGGGATACCCCTGTTTGATTGGCACTCAGCGCACCTCATGTACAGGCACACACAAACTTTCTTCGGAAACTGAGCATGATGAACAAAGTTACATGTGCACAAATCGCACACACAGAAACACACACACACACACAAGCGCAGACACACGAGCCTTGAAGAAAAGCCCATTCCTAAATGGACAAACAGTAACCATCCATGAGCATCACACACCGACATGAAACACAAGGTCCATCAGCTCCACCAAGAATAACATACAGTGAGGGACAGCTGTTCGTCACAGCAAGTCAAGGGTCAAATGCAGGACCCCCAGGACCCCCATAAACCCCCAGTGTCGTGTGCTGGCAAACCACTGCAAATGACAGCGGGCAATGCCTTTCAACAGTCAAGTCGCCACAATGCTTCCGGTGAAAAAGCCTTGTACACCTTGATAACACAGAGGAAGACCATGACCGCTTCCAGAACTCATCCCCCCGGGCGCCTTTCATAGCTAAAAAAGATAGGCAGAAAGAGAGGAGTCACCACCCCCTTATTGCAGATGCATGTGATTTTAGCTGCCAGCTCTGAGGGACAAACACTCTGGAGAAGTCCGTTGCGAGCCACTCCTTAGGGACCCAAATTCCCCCTGATTGGTACCTACTACTGTCCCCTGATACATACAGGCCAGTGAGGGTTACAAGGACCTTTCCAGCTCCCCAGTTTACATTCAGCATACGGTCTACGCTGAAGTACTCGCCTTCCTCGTCGTCTCCTTGTCCGTTCCCAATCCAACCGTCCCGATAACCACTGATGCCCCGGTCCTCAACTGCCCCTCTCACCAATGATCTCCTCCCTTCAGCTTTCCCAACACTGCTGTTTTCCTCAACGTGGTTGTGTTTCCTTGGGGCCCTGGGTCCTTGCTCACCACCTCTCACTTCAGCATAGGTTTGCTTTCTTTGGTCCTTTGGTCTGCCATCCCTTTCCTTGGCATCTCTTCTTGGTCTTCTGTCTGCTGTTGACATGAGAAGATTCCCGTCACTGTTGCCTTCAGTTATCTGTTTTCTTCCACTTCCGTAAACCACCCCCTGACATCTCTCCTTTTTCACTACCACTTGAGGAGACGGCATACCTGTTCCCAAGACAGAGCGCTCTTCCACAGGTAAGGACTCCTCACCACCTCTCCTCCTCATGTTTGCTATCCTTTGTCCATCTGTCTTCTGGTCTGTTTTCTTTGCTCTAACAAGTCTTGTGCTCTCCCCACCTGCAGAAGCATGTTCCGCGGCAATTTCGGTTACCTCAACAGATTGACCACCTAACACAAATCCCTGATTTCCACAGCTTGCCTCGTCGGTACTCTTTGCCATTTTCTCCAATAAACTCCTCCGCCTCTTTGTCTTTAGACTCGAGAATCTCCACTTGCGCTTCCTCTTCTTGTCCTTCTTGTCGTTCTTGCCATCTATCGCGGAGGGACCAAAGCGTGCATTTGACACATCCACAAAACCAGATGGAGCAGTGTTGTCCAGTTCTCGTCTACCAGCTGCTTCATTTTTCACTCTTGCAAGTCCATTCTGCTTGGAGTCCTCTACCCATTCGTTCTCCACAAGCTGAGCCTGCATCACAACCTGATTGACTTTGTTTCTCCCTCCCTCGTCAACAGATCGCGTGGATTCCTCCCGTGCACCTCGGACTTTCCCTCTACTTTTCTTTCCAGAAGCCCTGCCGTCACCTACCAGGATTCTTTCTTCCGTCCAAGGACTGGCCTGCAACTTCCCCTTCCCGCATGGCCTTCGGTTTGTGCAGCCCTTTGCAATCCCGTCTGAGCTTTGATCTGTTAAGCAGTTGGTACCGACTATGCGCAGAACAAGCTCGTTCTGACTTCTTTGGATAGTCAAGTTGGAGAACTTTCCTCCTCTGCCTGTCCTTGCCTTATCGTTCTCAGCCCGACCAAGCGAGACTTCCACCTCTCTGTACTCTTCACACCAGTTCCCTGCCTCCACCATATCACGCCATTGCTGGCTCTTCTGAGAACTACTCCCTCCAACATCAGATGCCCCCTCATCTCTGCCTTGGCGCCTGCCACCCTTGCAAGGACCAACATTCTTCTGTATTTCAGTTTTGCTCACCTTACTGCCAACGTTGGAGCTGGAGATCTTCCAGTTATGATTGCTCTTTTGTTTCTTCCCCCTCCCTCTCCCTTTCACATCCTGTTCTGCAGCCATTCCTCCATCCAGCTCGCGTGCCCTTGAACGTGGGTCTGCTTCCAGTGCGCCATCAGCTGCCCATCCAGGACGTGCATCGGCAGCACCCCAGCCCCTTGATCCCCTTCCAACAGATGCCATGACAGACTCTGCTGTGTCGCCATTATCACCGCGTACAACTAAGGGATGGCCACCGGCATCCTTACTCCTGTAGCCTCTTGGAACAGCTTGCCAGGTCTCCACAAGTGGCACCCCCTCTGCACAAGTCTCCGAGGAACAGACAATGGGAAACAGATTCACTCTGACCACAGTTTGTTTCAGAAACTCTAACACAATCCAGTCCCCGTCTTGCAATTCCTGATCACGGATGAACTGTCGCCAGCCAGAACTAAATCCACAGCGCTTGTCGGGACTCCATAGCCACCCAAGCTTGCATCGATAGCCATTCGGTCCAATGAATGTCACATCCCCACTTCCCTGAGGCAATAGGGACATGAATGCCTTCGGAATGCGCTGCGGCAACCCACACGGCACACAACAAAGAAACAGTAGAGTTTACACACATCCAGTCAATTGAGCACAGTGAGTGCACAAACGTTTGCCACAAACAGTAATGTTACCATCCATGAGTGTTCCTACCAGCCTGTCTTCACACGTCAGCACTCGACCAATCGTTTGACCTCAATTCACGTCCCAGATGCCGACTGCTGTGTGTCGTCCATCCCACTCCCTGTGCAATTCCGCATTCACAAATTACCACTTGACTGCCTGTTCGGGCTTTTCCACTTTCTATCAAGTTTCTAAGGGGTTGAGCCATTGCCTCCAGTGCGTGAATGTGGCATGCTCCTGCACTTTGACACTTGCTAAACGTTCAATTTAGCACTGACAGATGAGAGATGGACTGCCTGGCGACGACAGATTGATCCTTACCAGCATGCCTGCGTATCACACATTGCACTGCACTAAAGACTAAGGCTGCCGAGCAATTCCAACCCCCCACCCCGCCACCCCTACCCCGCACACCGACCCCTCCCTGGAAGGTTCAAAATAAAACAAGAGCAGCCAGCACAGCTTGAGTGAGGAAGGGGTATTGATGGAAAGTGTTTATGAAACCTGAATACTGGAGCCGGAAAATGGGAATATTTAGGCCGGCTTAAGAAAAACACTGCAATGGTCGATTCACGAGCGAATTATAGAAGAAAACAACAGAACAGTTGGGTTCGCAACTGCAAATGACTTCTTTGAATCATCCCGAAGCCAACGGGCAGGTGGAGCAGATGAACAGGATGGTCCAGCATTTGCTGAGACACTACATTAAACCAAGTCCAGAAAAGCCAAGTCAAGATGACTGGGATGAGAAACTTCCTCTCATCACCAGCCTGTACAACAAATGCAGTGCACAGTGCAACTGCAGGGACACCCAGTCAACTGCACCTTGGATGGAAGCCAGGGACACCGTTGGACTTCCTCCTATTTCATAGTAGACCTACAGCTGCACCGGGTAGCATCGAGTTTAGTATAGAATATGAAAGGATGCTGCAGCAGGCCACTGAGCAGATCCAGAAATCTCAGAATGTAATAATGGCAGCCATCTGAGAACAGGCATAGAGAGGACTCAAAAGTTTCAGGTGGGGGAAAGGGTATGGGTTAAGTCGTCCGAGTTTGCTGCAGAAGTAGACATCTCTCGCAAGCTAATGCCACAGCACTCCGGACCATAGGGAGTCCTTGGCATCGTGTGATCAGAACCCAATGGTCCTTCCTATGTGATCTGAGTACCACCTGATGTACGTTCTTACCCAGACTTCCATGCCTCTAGAGTCTAAACTTCTCCCTTTTGCTCAGACTAATCAATTTCCCTGGACAAGGTCAATGCTGCCCCCAACCATGGATGGATACGTGGACATCGATCACATCGTGGAGCACAAGCTGATACACTGCTCATAGCTTGTGACGAGTTGAGGTGCTGACTTCATTAGGCATACACTGCCCATAGCTTGTGATGAGTTGAGGTGCTGTCTTCATTAGCTCCTCTCTTGTGAACCATCTGTCGTCTCTAGGATCAACGTGGTCCCTGAATCTGACCCGAAATCATGCCTCATGTACGGGGACGGGCCGCCCGTACGTAGGAATCCAGCCCTCCGCACGTGGCCACGGGGGGGGGGGGGCTGGGCGAAGTGCGGGTGTCGGGATTGTGAAAAACAAGAAAAACAAAACAAAACAAAACAAAACGAAACAAAGCAAAAAAAAAGATTGCTTGATTGGTTGATTGATGAACTGATTGATTGATTGATTGACTGATTGGATGAATGATTGATTGATTGAATGATTTGCAAGGAATATGAGTGTGAACGATATACAGAAAACCAAGTTGCGAAATCACACAGATGTCCAGGTAGTCGTGTCCAAGCAGAGAGTACAAAATGCACCGAGAAACCATCCATATAGAGCAATACAATGAAGTAATGAGCCAATGTTCAAGCCTGTMGGCCACACCAACACAGTATCCAAAGTCGCTCCTCTCCTGTCTGGCGCCCAGCGCCCAGCCTACTCTGCCCGACTATCCTACCTACAGTTGGTTCACGCAACAGGCTCACTTCGACTCTCGAAGACCAATGTACATGACTGTCAACCCCATAGCCGACCTCTCTTCATGCACCAGGTACGTATCCCGTGACCCTCAATCAGCCCTTGATTACCCACACTCGCCTCCTTCCCTGAAGACCACCTGATCACCCTCCTACCCCCTGGCGCGCAGCAGCCCGGCTATGGCTGCCTGCGCCCCGCTGCCCTGCAGCGCCCCACCTCACCACTACACGCCCCGTCAGTGGCATTGGCAGCAACGCAGCATCAAGCGATAGTGCAGCAGCACTTCTGCATTGCCTGCACTTGCCGGCATGCCTAGCCTGGGCTGCCTCACTTCCTTTATGAAAGCGGCAGCCTCCTGGATGCTGCGTGTGGCCTGGCTGGAAGCTTCCAGTAGCTTCCGGTTGGGCCTCAGACCCTGCGCCCAGGCCCGAGACTACAGTAGTTGAGGGCCTGGGCCCTTTTCAGTTGGGCACGGCCTGAGTCTCCGGACTTGGGCTGTTTGCTGCATCTGTGCAGGGCTGCCAGGCAGGTGCGTTGGCAGTACTGCTTTTCCAAAGGCCGAAGGCCTGCTTCGCAATGTATCGGCCCTGCTTTGTGTGTATGTGCCCAGGCGCAACTGTCAAGGCCTGAGCCAACTGTATAACGCAGCTTAGTGAGGCTCACGTGTCTACCCAACCAACTGGTGCAAGGAATATCAGCGTGAACGATATACAGAAAACCAAGTTGCGAAATCACACAGATCTCCAAGTAGTCGTTTCCAAGCAGAGAGTACAAATGCACCGAGAAAACCATCCATATAGAGCAATACAATGAAGTAATGAGTCAATGTCCACACCCGTAGGCCACACCAACACAGTATCCAAAGTCGCTCCTCTTTGTCTGGCACCCAGCGCCCAGCCTACTGTACCCGACTATCCTACCTACATCTGGTTCACGCAACAGGCTCACTTCGACACTCGAAGACCAATGTACATGGCTATCAACACCATAGCCGACCTCTCTTCATGCACCCGGTACGTATCTCGTCACCCTCAATCAGAGCTTGATTACCCCACACTCGCCTCCTTCCCGGAAGACCACTCGATCGCCCGCATTACCCCCTGGTGCCCAGCAGCCGGGCTATGGCCGCCTGCGCCCTGCTGCCCTGCAGCACCCCACTTCACCACTACACGCCCCGTCAGCGCCCTTGGCAGCAGCGCAGCATCAAGCGATAGCACAGCAGCACTTCCGCATTGCCAGCACTGGCCAGAATGCCTGGCCTGGGTCTGGCCAGTGCTGCCTCACTTCTTTTGTGAAAGCGGCAGCCTCCTGGATGCTGCGTGTGGCCTGGCTGGAAGCTTCCAGTAGCTTCCGGTTGTGCCTCAGACCCTGCGCCCAGGCACGAGACCACAGTTGAGGGCCTGGACCCTTTTCAGTTGCGCACGGCCTGAGTCTCCAGACTTGGGCTGTTTGCTGCATCTGTGAGGGGCTGTCAAGGCATGGGCCAACTGTATGATGCAGCTTAGTGAGGCTCACTCATCTACCCAACCAACTGGCATGCTGCGAAGAGCCTGAATACCCACATATGGAAATGCCGAATTTTGGCCTCTGACGAATATTCAGGCCCGCCTTCACCTAGGGCGGGCACTCGGCTTGTTGGGGGCCTTAGCCCAGAACATGTGATGTCTGATAGGGCCCCTTGAGGGCTTGTTCCTCACATTCAATCCCCCTCAGCTTCGAAATCCTTTCATGCTGGTGCCTTCCCATTCAGTTTCTTCTCATAATCTGCCACGATCTGAGGAGCTGTTTTGACAAATTCCTCCCTTGAAATCCATCGATCTTCCTTAGGATCAGTGTGATGCCTGAAATGTACTCTGTATTCCATTGCAGGTTTAGGAGGTCTTCCCCTGCCAGGTGGCTTGGGAACAGGCGTGTCTCTGTGATCCAGGATGTCGTTGACGTCCACGTGGCCATCCATGGTTGGGGGCAGCATAGATCTCCGTGTTGGAAGTGTGCTGTCTCAGCGAAAGGTGCAAGCTTGGAGGCGTGAAAAACAGGGTAAGTGCGTAGGTGACCAGGGATACGAATGACGTACGAGGGACCATCCAAATCATTCCCCACAATATCCAGGACTTCCCAGGGACCGAAATACTGAGGCACTAGTTTCCTAGAGATGCCAAACTCCTGTCCCAACTCACTAGCCTTGACCCAGACACGTTCACCTACCTGAAATGTGGACTGTCGGCGACGTTTGTTCTCAGAAGCCATCATAGCTTCCTGAGATTTCTTGATGTGTTCAACAGTCTGCTGCAACAATTTCTCATACTGGACACCAAATTCAATGGTTCCAGGAGTTGCAGCAGTTCGATTTTCGGGCAGGAGGAAGTCTAGAGCAGATCTAGGTTTCCATCCCAGATGCAGCTGATTAGGACTGATGCCGGTGGTGCTGTGTACAGCATTGTTGTACAGGCTGGCGATGAGAGGTAATTTCTCATCCCAATCATCCTGGCTGGGCTTGATGTAATGCCTCAGCAGATGCTGCACCACACCGTTCATCTGTTCAGCCTGCCCATTTGCTTCGGGATGATTCCTAGAAGTCATCTGAAGCTGGCTGCCCATCTGTTCAGCGGCCTTCTTCCACACCTCACTTGTGAAACACACATCTATATCACTAACGATTGTCTTTGGCAGTCCAAAGTCACGCACCCAGTTATCCATGAATAACTTGATGACGTGTTCAGTCCTGGCAGTCTCTGGCATGGCAATTTGTCTAGCATACTTAGTGAAGTTGCCTCTTGCCATTCTTGCTGGTCACGAGAGTATCCATGAAGTCCATGGAGATACTCTGCCCTGGGCCAGCAGGAATCGGTAGAGACTTGAGTAACCCCAGCGGATATTGAGTCTGCAGCTTGTCCCGCTGACAAACCTGGGAGGTCTGTACGTACTTC